TCCTCCTCCTGTCCCAGGCACTCACTACATGACTCTGCGTCCCTCTACTGCTCCTCAGCGTGTCCCTCTACCGTCTCCTCCTGCGTCTTCTTTGCCTCACGTTCCGGACCCTGGGTCTGACCGGTACCGTGCTGAGCACCCTACTGTCACGCGTCTCCTCGCTACTGTTGTCACTGACCCTACCTTTGAGTCCTCGGCTGCGTCTGCTCTGGTCGCTGAGTTGGTTGACTTTGCTGCTGCCTGTCGTCTAGACTACGCTGCTAGCCTTGTTGCTGAGTCTGAGTCTGAGTCTGTCTGTCCTCCGTCCGTCGGGGGTGAGTGTGCTCTTGGCACGGACGTCCTTGAGGACAGACAGGAGGAGTTCCAGTGTCTTGCTGCTGCTTTGCCCCGTCTCGTGTCCTTGCTAGTTGCCCCTGAGGGAGACCCGGATGCACCAGACATCCCGACCCCGCGCACTTACGCTGAGGCGATGGCGGGTCCCTACTCCTCTCAGTGGCAGACAGCCATGGACGCCGAGATGGCCTCCTGGAAGTCCACACGCACCTACGTCGACGAGGTTCCCCCTCCTGGGGCGAACATCGTCAGTGGCATGTGGATTTTCAGGGTGAAGCGGCCACCGGGTTCTCCTCCTGTCTTCAAGGCGCGCTACGTGGCTCGAGGCTTCAGTCAGCAAGAGGGAGTTGACTTCTTTCAGACCTTCTCCCCCACCCCGAAGATGACCACTCTTCGGGTGCTGCTGCACATAGCCGCTCAGCGCGACTACGAGCTTCACTCACTTGACTTCAGCACTGCTTTCTTGCAGGGCAGCCTGCACGAGGAGATCTGGCTGCGCCGCCCTCCTGGCTTCACTGGGTCGGTTCCTCCTGGTACCCAGTGGAGGCTTCAGCGGCCAGTCTACGGTCTCCGCCAGGCACCGCGTGAGTGGCACGACACACTGAGGACGACACTTGCGGCTCTTGGGTTCGCTCCCTCTACTGCTGACCCGTCACTGTTTCTACGCACAGACACCTCACTGCCGCCGTTCTACATCCTCGTGTACGTCGACGAATTGGTCTTTGCCACTGCTGACACTGCAGGACTCGCCTACGTGAAGTCGGAGCTGCAGAGGAGACACACGTGCACAGACCTGGGTGAGCTGACAAGCTATCTTGGCTTGCGGATCACCCGGGACAGAGCACGGCGCACCATCACCCTGACTCAGTCACACATGGTGCAGCAGGTTCTCCAGCGCTTCGGCTTCACGTACTCCTCGCCTCAGTCCACTCCTCTGCCTACCGGTCACTCGCTCTCAGCTCTGCCTTCGGATGAATCCGTAGAGCCGAGTGGCCCGTATCCAGAGCTTGTGGGCTGCCTCATGTACCTGATGACCTGCACTCGACCTGACCTTGCATACCCTCTTAGCATCCTTGCACGCTATGTCGCTCCTGGCCGTCACAGGAAGGAGCACATGGATGCCGCTAAGAGGGTGTTGCGCTACTTGTGCAGTACGTCGGGCATGGGGCTTGTGCTTGGAGGGCGAGACCGAGTTGTTCTCACAGGGCACTCAGACGCTTCTTGGGCAGACGACCAGGCCACTCAGCGGTCGTCTCAGGGTTACACCTTCAGCCTTGGCTCTGGCTCAGTTTCTTGGCGCTCTACACGCTCTTCTTCTGTTCTCGGCTCCAGTTGCGAGGCTGAGATCTACGCTACAGCCATGGCTGCCCAGGAGCTACGCTGGCTGACCTACCTGCTGACCGACCTCGGAGAGCCGCCTCGTTCTCCTCCAGTACTGTACGTCGACAACAAGGCTGCCATTGCCTTGTGTGAGGAGCACAGACTGGAGCACAGAACGAAGCACATCGCCCTGCGGTACTTCCTTGCTCGTGAGCTGCAGCAGCGCGGTCAGCTTTGTATTCGCTACGTGGCCACTGAGGCCAACACTGCTGATGTGTTCACCAAGGCGCTTCAGCCTCGTGACCATCAGCGCTTCTGCACTCTACTAGGCCTTGTGCCTACTGGACCTCACTTACTTACCTCTTGACTTTGCTTGTACTGTGATCACTATATATATCTATACCTGCATGTTTACTCTTGCTAGGTTGTGATCACTGTATCTCTTGCTCTGTTATAAACCTGCATGTGAATTGGTCTTGTGACCACTAGCTTGTGCTCGGAATTTGTGTGGAATCCTTGAGATCCACCCTGAGCTTGCCTTCCTTTGCTTTGACTGGTCTCGTGACCCTGTGGTTGTCTCCCACTGCGCCTATGGGGGTGTGTCAAACATTATATGTTTATATGATTGTAGGCTGTAGTGGGTTACACCTTAGGGGGTACACTAGATTAGGGTTTACTACTTGTATCCAACTTTGTGCTAGTACAGTCATTCCTGTCCGTTCATTCTGACAAGGGCAGCGTGCGGGCACTGGGGTGGCGCGACGGGCAGGGGAGGGCGGCGCACAGCCAGAAGGGCGGCGCGCAGCCAGAAGGTCGGTGCGTCGGGCAGGGCAGGGAGGCGCGCGACCAGTAGGGCGACGCGACGGGCAGGGCAGGGCGGCGCGACGGGCAGGGAAGGGCGGCGCGCAACCAGTAGGGTGGCGCGACGGGCAGGGTAGGGCGCTACGGACAGGGTAGCGCGCTACGAGCAGTGAACTACTCGGTGGGCCCTAAAAAAAAATCTGGTCCTAGAACAGGACCTTCTTTGGAACCATGTCAGATGACAAAACGGGAATGGCTGCATTGAGAACAAGCTGAGTACAAGTTGTTGCGACCAGAAAGGGATCGACCCTAGGATCACCTCGGGAGGGTTCGCTTGAGTAGTTGGTAGTGGTGGGCTCTTGAACTTAATAGCAGAGTGAATGTAAAATGCTTGAGATGAATTAAAACATGCAAATGCAAGGATATAAATAAGAGTACAGGGGAATACGAAACGACCTAGCTAGCCATGTACTCTAAGGGGTACATTCCCTTATTCGAATTCAAACCAACCGTGCGACTCGAACAGTTACGAAACTGTTCCCACCAAATCTCTCTTCCCTGCAGCTGCCCGATGCCGTCTGCTCCGACGTTCCAGATCCATTCCAACCGTCCGCATCGCTTTGAGTCAACTCTGACTCTTCGCATTCGTCATCGTTGTTGCGTGCTTCGCTTGGCTACGGTTAGGAGTGTACAATAGTATGTCACCATTCGTAACACAAGTACTAACCCTACTTGGGTTGTACCCCTTATGGGTTACCCCACTACAGCCTCCTACACACCATAAGCAGTATGATAGTTTGACAGTTAGGTGACCAGATAGGTTTTGAAGGAAGATGCCTAAGGCTGTCAACGTGCCATGCAGTGTTGTAATGTTGTCTGATTTGTACCTTAGTGCAAGAAATTATGCTAATGCGTAATCCTAAACCCTGGCCACATGAAAAGGTGATTGTAGTAGGTTTGGTGACATAGTGGCTACGTTCTGTAGGCATTTCCCTTGGGAGGGAGGTGGGGGGGCGAAGGGAAATGACGAGGGTTCCGAAGCAGCTTCCCCTTCAAATCCCCTCCTCCCCCGCTACAACCGAAAGTGGGAAATTTCGGTCGATTGGTGCGAAGCTGCTGAAGGTAAATGACGAAAAAACAGCCACAATTTCCATTGCATGGAAGTAGGGTAGACAGAGCTGCGCGACATCAGAAAAAGGGTTGAAATTTGGAGAAGGGTAACCACGTTGAAATTGTGTGCGCGCGCTGGTTAGAAATTCAATTCAGTTCGAGGAGGCTGGTGGCTTGTGTTTTTTTTTTACCTGTTAGTTTGCTGCGTCCCTGATTGGGCTACTCAAGGGAGGGGTTGTTTGCTTTATAGGGTTCAGGTGTGGTGTTCCCTAACCCAGCGCCTCCCTCCCCCTTCCGTCTCACAGCCCGGGCAAGAGCAGTTTTTGAAAGGGGGGGCGAAGGAGGCAAATTTTGCCAGAGAAGGAAGGTGGGGAGGGGAAATAGGCAGCTTCCCACGACCTCATATCCGCGAGGGTGAATGACTGTTCTGTTGCCATTTTCCTTCGGAAAATCTCAGCGGAAACGGGTCGTCAAGCCTGACGACCCTCTGACGACTTGACGACATGCTGCCCCGGGCAGAAAAAAACTAAAACCCCATCGGATGGCATGCCATCCGAGGGAGCCTCAACCCTAAACACCATGCCTCCCCGCGTTTAGGGTTGAGGCTCCCTGACCGGATGCATGCCCGTCTGGGGTTTATTTTTTTTAGCCCGCGGGCAGCGAGCTCCCCTGGGCGGGCTCGCTTGTCCGCTGAGATATATTCGGCGTTTACGTTCGGAGGATAAATGGGAGGCTCGGATCCATTTTCCGGGCTGACCGTTCGTTTGATCCAAAAAACGCAGTTGAGGGAAGGTTCCCATTTCCCGCCTTCACCCCCTCTGTCGTGCCTGCAGAACGTAGCTAGTGTTGCACGAGAAACAAAGCTCCCGCCGATGCCGGGGATCGAACCCGGATCTTCCGCGTGACAGGCGGAGATACTGACCATTATACTACATCGACACAGTAGAGACATCTCTCCAACCCTTCAATTTATTTCACAATTTCTATTTCTATGCTGAGTTACAATTGGTGTTGAAAGATGTAAATGCTTTCACCAGGAGTTCTAGTGCGGTGCAATCAGGGACCCTGCGATCCATCGTGCAGAATTGCTCGAGGTGCCGCGTAGCGCACATCCCTTTCTGGTGCAGTCAGCTAATCAAGGCGCAATCCGCGGTGAAGTTTCACTCCGGGTAGAGGGCAGCGAGTGAGGCGGCAGGTCAAGTTGAGAGAGGAGGGAAAGGAAAGGGACGTGAGGACTTGTCGCGGGAAGACAACCGAGAGAAGGTGGTGATAATCGCATCGAGAGGAAGGCAGGAGGGGCATAGTCTGAAGCGGAGGCGCAGAGTCGGCAGGCGGAGAAGGCGGACGTAGGATCGAGCAGGGGCGGGCAGCAGCGCGGGCGAGCGGGAGCGCGAGCGAGAAGGAGCGAGTAGCAGGCGCGCGAGCGGAGTGCGGCGATGGGCGACATGGGCGCGGCGCTGCGCGCGGTGGTGGCGGTGGCGGAGCCGAAGGCGAAGGTGGAGGCGTACCGCGCGCTGCTCGCTGACGTCATCGCGCGCAACGACGTGGAGCACGCGAAGCTGTTCGTCGACCACAGTGCGGCCCGGGGGAAAGGATGGGGTGATGGTTGTCGGGGTGGGGGGAGGCGGCGGGTTGGCGAGAGTGGGTGCGGAGGGGTGCGTGCGTGGTGGAGGGGTATGGATGGTGAATCTGAGAAGACTCAGAGGCTGAGTGCATTTCTGTGCGGTGCAGCGGACTCTACGACCTCTGCTGCAGCACTGCGCGCCATTCACAGGGTTCTCTCTAACCCTTGCACACCCTCCCATGCCCCGTCCGCCTCTTCCCCTCCCTTCGCCCCTCTGTACTCTCCCTTGATCCCACTCATTTCACACCTTACTCCCCCCTTACCCCTCCCCTCCAACCCCCGCCAATCACCTCTCAACCCCTTCTCACCCTGCTCTCGCCCCCTTCACCTTCCTCACCCTCCCCCTGTGCGCGCCAGTGCTATCGGACGACGTGTCCTTGGTGGTGGCGAGGCAGGTGCTGCAGCAGCTGGCACCTTGTCCCACCCACATGCCTCCCCTCTAATCCTTGCGCTCGCTGCCCACGCCAGTGCAATCCTTAACCACCCCCTCAACCCGCTCTGGGCGCGCCAGTGCAATCGGACGACGTGTCCTTGGTGGTGGCGCGGCAGGTGCTGCAGCAGTCGGCATTCTGCCCGTCCCGCCCACATGCCCCCCTCGCCCCCCTGCCCCCCCCCCTGTCCGCAGTGCTATCGGACGACGTGCCGTTGGTGGTGGCGCGGCAGGTGCTGCAGCAGCTGGCGGGCGAGCTGGGGGGGCTGCGCGCGGAGCAGCACAAGGCCGTGGCGCTCTACGCGCTCGCGCACATCCAGCCGCGCGTCGTGTCCTTTGAGGAGCAGGTCAGTGGGGCTGGAGTTCGTGTGCGCGTGATAGTGTTTGTGTCCGTGTGTGCGCACGCACACGCGCGCGCGTGTGTGTGTATGGGGCGCCACAGGGGCTTGGAGGTGCGGGGAGGCGGTGCATGGTGAGGCTTGGAGGGGCCGAGAGGGTTGGGGCGGTCAGAGGAGGAGCGGTGGGAGGAGTCGGCTGCAGCATCCGCTGTGGCGAGCGCCATGACGCCCCCCTTGTGGCCGTGCAGCGTTGCCACCCACTCGCCCGTCACCAGCGACCATACCTGGCAGTGTCAATGTGGTGGGGGAGGAGTTGAAGAGGCAGGATGGATGGGGTGGGAGGGCATGATGATGGGCATGATGAAAAGAAAACAGCCCAGCACCCACCTTGACGAAGGTGGCCCAGCACCCACCTTAACAAAGGTATCCCCCGCGCCGCTACAGATGAGCTGGTGTGCTACAGCCAGAGCATAGACGCGGCTGCAGTGGCCATTCTTGTTCGAATCCGTCAGCACCAGCGCTGCCTCCGTGCTGTGGCACACCGTGCCAACCCCTCCCCCATCTTCCCCCCTGTCTGACTCCATGGAATTGCGCAACACGCGCACCCCTCCCCCTCCTCCTGCGTCTCCTGCCCCAGCTCCTGCCCCACCCCCCACTTCTGCCCCTCCTACCCCTGGTCCTGCCCCTGGCCCCCCTCCTGCCCCTTCGGCCCCTCCTGCCCCTCCCACCACCGCTCCCCCTGCTCTCACTCCACAACCCCCACCTCCCCATAGATGCTGCCCCTGCTGCACTGCTGTCTGCCAGTGCTCCTGCTGTGGCTCATATGATACGCTGCTCATCTGCCCATTCACCAGGCCATTCACCTGTCCATTCATGTGACCATTCACCTGGCCATTCACCAGAGAATTCACCTGACCATTCATTTGACAGTTCACCTGGCCATTCATGTAACCATTTATCTCGTCATTCACCTGACCATTCACCTGAGTATTCACTTGACCGATCATGTAACCATTCATGTATCCATTCGCCTGACTATTCACATGAACATTCACATAATCATTAGCTTTCACCTGACCATTCATCTGATATTTCACCTCCCCTTTCTCCTCCTCCCCCCCCTCGCCTACCACTCCCACAAACGAGCCTCCAAACTTGACTGCCGAGCCTCTGAACGAACCTGTTGCCACCCCACCAGACCTATCTCCTTCCAGGAAGCTGTACAAGTGAGCTTTGGGTGACAGCGATTGGCTCGAATCACCGAACCCAATCCGAACCACATGCCCACCAGACCCCACAGTTGTAGCACCACTCTCCATTTCTGAGCCTGAGTCTTGAGTTCGGGAACAAACCTGAGGTACAGCAACAGGAGCAGTAGGAGCAGCAGCAGGGGCAGCAGTGGCAACGGCTGAAGCCTGGGACCCAAGGGCTTCTTCCAAAGACAGTGGTTCCCATATGGACCCACCTGCTGCTGCTGCTGCTCCTCTTCCTGCAGATGCCTCTGTGTTAGTGGCCGTGTTTGCACTAGCTGCTAGTTGAGAGCTGTTTGGATAAAAGTAACTGTGGTCAGTAGCGGAGATTGACCCCTCCCCTCCTGCTGCCACTGCAGCCGCAGCAGCTGCGGCTGCTGCCATGACAGCTGGCGGCCTGTGATTGGCTGCCGCATGTGACGTAGAAAAGGCAGCAGAAGCAGAGGTAGCAGAGCTAGAAACAGCAGCATCAGCAGAAGCAGAAGCAGGTTGTAACGATGTTACCAGCATGGCCGAGGCATCCGGGAAGGAGGAACCCAAGGGCAGCACGAACTGTTGCAGGCTGTGCAACTGCCTCAAGCCCCCATGCACCTGCCCGTCCCTCTGCTCCTGCACCTGTTCGCGGCTGCCCCTGCCCCTGCCCCTGCCCCTGCCCCTGCCCCTGCCCCTGCCCCTGCCCCTGCCCCAGCCCATTCACCATCCCACCTACCGCACCTCTTCCCTCGCTCCCTCTAGCGCCAATCCCTGCACCAACTCCACTAGCAACAGCAGTGGCAGCAGAAGAGGCGGCAACGGCAGGCGCCCTGGTACACCTGACAATGGAGGTGCCTGCAGGGCCGGCAACAGACCTGCCGAGGCCGAGGGCGAGCGCAAAGACGTCTCCATCGGAGTAGCGGAGAGTGGAGAGGAGGCGGAAGGTGTTGGTGTCCCAGATTTTGACGACGCGGGTGGAGGAGCTGTAGAGGCGGTCGTGGTGCACGGAGAGGGAGAAGATGGTCTGGCTGTGCCCTGCCAGCGTGCACACGCACCGGAAGTCCCGCAGCTCGTACAGCGTGATCAGCCCGTCCTGCGAACCCGCAAACACGCGCTTACCATCCACTGCCAGCGCCAGCACCGCCTGCCGGTGCTTCGCCATCGCGTGCCGCGGCCTGTCCGTCACAGGAATGCCCTCTGGTGGGGGAACTGTGGTGGCCGCATGCCTCCTGCTTCGGACACTGCTCCTGCTGTTTGTGCTGTTGCTTTTGACGCCACCATTCCAAGACAGACTACTGGGATACCCATAAGTCTCTGCGTCCCCATCGATATCGTCTTCATCGTATTCCTCCTCGTCTCCCATAATATCTCTGCCATGCTGATCCCTGACCAGGTCTCGCAGACCCTCCTTCCAGCTGCACGATCCCCCTGCTGCCCCCCCTGATGGAAGCACCACCGGTGATCCACTGCGAGCCGCATCAGCGGCCGGAGAAGAAGCAGCAGGGAGAGGAGGTGGAGTCGTTGCAGCAGGGAACGCTTTTTGAGATGAAGTGCTGGAAACTGGAGACTGCAGCAGCTGCTGCTGCTGCTGCTGCTGCATAGCCCCAGCAGCAGGCGCCCGCCTCCTCCCCTGTGCTCGCCTGGGGCGCCTGAGGGAGACCTTGAGGGAGGCGGGCGGGCAGCTGGCGAGGGCCTTGAAGGCGCGGGAGATGTCGCGAGCCACGGAGGGGGGCGGGTTGATGGGCACCAGCAGCACATCCACGAACGAGCCCTTGAACCGCGTCATCACCACCATAGTGTTGCGTGGCACCTGAGAGAGAGGGGGAGGGGAGATTTATGAGGGAGTCATCACAACCATAGTCTAGCAGGCCGAGTCATCAACCCCTCATTTGAATCCAGTCGTTGCTCTCGCCCGTCAGCTCTCTCTCATCAATAAGCGGCTCGCTGGCCACAATCCAACCCACCCACCCATCTACCACTTCTCACCTGGATCCAGTCCTTGCTCTCAACAGTGAGCGGCTCACTTGAATCTCCCTGTCTCACCACCCCTTTCTCTCACCTGGATGCATTCCACACTTTAAACAGTGAGCGGCTCGCTGGCCACTCCCACTTTTCATTCCCTGCTTACCCCGACATCTCCCTCAATTTCCAGTCCGCGCTCTCATCAGTGAGCGGCTCGCTGGCCACTCCCACTTTTCATTCCCTGCTTACCCCGACATCTCCCTCAATTTCCAGTCCGCGCTCTCATCAGTGAGCGGCTCGCTGGCCACTCCCACCTTCTGTTTTCCCTTTACCCCGCCATCTATCTCACCTGGATCCAGCCCGCGCTCTCATCAGTGAGCGGCTCGCTGGAATTTCTTCCCCCCCCCCCCCCCCCCCCCCCCCCCCCCCCCCCCCCCCCATCACTCCTCTCACCTGGATCCAGTCCGCGCTCTCATCAGTGAGCGGCTCACCTCATTCCCCTCCAATATTATCTCTTCTCTCTTCTCTCTCCTCTCACCTGGATCCAGTCCGCGCTCTCATCAGTGAGCGGCTCACCTCATTCCCCTCCAATATTCTCTCTTCTCTCTTCTCTCTCCTCTCACCTGGATCCAGTCCGCGCTCTCATCAGTGAGCGGCTCACCTCATTCCCCTCCAATATTCTCTCTTCTCTCTTCTCTCTCCTCTCACCTGGATCCAGTCCGCGCTCTCATCAGTGAGCGGCTCACCTCATTCCCCTCCAATATTCTCTCTTCTCTCTTCTCTCTCCTCTCACCTGGATCCAGTCCGCGCTCTCATCAGTGAGCGGCTCACCTCATTCCCCTCCAATATTCTCTCTTCTCTCTTCTCTCTCCTCTCACCTGGATCCAGTCCGCGCTCTCATCAGTGAGCGGCTCACCTCATTCCCCTCCAATATTCTCTCTTCTCTCTTCTCTCTCCTCTCACCTGGATCCAGTCCGCGCTCTCATCAGTGAGCGGCTCACCTCATTCCCCTCCAATATTCTCTCTTCTCTCTTCTCTCTCCTCTCATCTGAATCCAGTCCGCGCTCTCATCAGTGAGCGGCTCACCTCATTCCCCTCCAATATTCTCTCTTCTCTCTTCGCTCTCCTCTCACCTGGATCCAGTCCGCGCTCTCATCAGTGAGCGGCTCACCTCATTCCCCTCCAATATTCTCTCTTCTCTCTTCTCTCTCCTCTCACCTGGATCCAGTCCGCGCTCTCATCAGTGAGCGGCTCACCTCATTCCCCTCCAATATTCTCTCTTCTCTCTTCTCTCTCCTCTCACCTGGATCCAGTCCGCGCTCTCATCAGTGAGCGGCTCACCTCATTCCCCTCCAACAATCGTTCTCTCTTCTCTCTTCTCTCTCCTCTCACCTGGATCCAGTCCGCGCTCTCATCAGTGAGCGGCTCACCTCATTCCCCTCCAATATTCTCTCTTCTCTCTTCTCTCTCCTCTCATCTGAATCCAGTCCGCGCTCTCATCAGTGAGCGGCTCACCTCATTCCCCTCCAATATTCTCTCTTCTCTCTTCGCTCTCCTCTCACCTGGATCCAGTCCGCGCTCTCATCAGTGAGCGGCTCACCTCATTCCCCTCCAATATTCTCTCTTCTCTCTTCTCTCTCCTCTCACCTGGATCCAGTCCGCGCTCTCATCAGTGAGCGGCTCACCTCATTCCCCTCCAATATTCTCTCTTCTCTCTTCTCTCTCCTCTCACCTGGATCCAGTCCGCGCTCTCATCAGTGAGCGGCTCACCTCATTCCCCTCCAATATTCTCTCTTCTCTCTTCTCTCTCCTCTCACCTGGATCCAGTCCGCGCTCTCATCAGTGAGCGGCTCACCTCATTCCCCTCCAATATTCTCTCTTCTCTCTTCTCTCTCCTCTCACCTGAATCCAGTCCGCGCTCTCATCAGTGAGCGGCTCACCTCATTCCCCTCCAATATTCTCTCTTCTCTCTTCGCTCTCCTCTCACCTGGATCCAGTCCGCGCTCTCATCAGTGAGCGGCTCACCTCATTCCCCTCCAATATTCTCTCTTCTCTCTTCTCTCTCCTCTCACCTGGATCCAGTCCGCGCTCTCATCAGTGAGCGGCTCACCTCATTCCCCTCCAATATTCTCTCTTCTCTCTTCTCTCTCCTCTCACCTGGATCCAGTCCGCGCTCTCATCAGTGAGCGGCTCACCTCATTCCCCTCCAATATTCTCTCTTCTCTCTTCTCTCTCCTCTCACCTGGATCCAGTCCGCGCTCTCATCAGTGAGCGGCTCACCTCATTCCCCTCCAATATTCTCTCTTCTCTCTTCTCTCTCCTCTCACCTGGATCCAGTCCACGCTCTCATCAGTGAGCGGCTCGCTGGCCACGATCCCCAGCAGCCCGCTGCGGTCGGCGTGGCGCACCAAGTAGTCATTGCTGCTGCCGTCCAGCGCCTCAAACCGGCTCCCACTCGCATAGTACAGCGTCGCACAGTCCTTGTCCGGTTGAAAGCAGTACCTGAAGCGCGGTAAGGGAAAAGGAGAGGGGATGAGCCTGTGGAGATGCACAGCAGTAAACTTACTGAATTCACCAGAAGTGAACTGAGCTGAAATCACTGGGTGACCAGCACCAGAACTCACTTGGTGGCAACGACTGGACTGATCACTGAACTCACCAGCACTGCGCTAGACTCACTTGGTGCCGACCACTGAACTAGTTACTGAACTTACTAAACCCTCACCAGCGAATCGAGCTCACTTGGTGGCAACGACGGTGCGGCCGTCGGAGACAAGGAGGAATACGTGACATGCCTCACCTGGAGATAACCACTGGAACCAACTCACTTGGTGGCCACCACAGTGCAGCCGTCGGAGACAAGGAGGAATACGTGACATGCCTCACCTGGAGATAACCACTGGAACCAACTCACTTGGTGGCCACCACAGTGCGGCCGTCGGAGACAAGGAGGAATACGTGACATGCCTCACCTGGAGATAACCACTGGAACCAACTCACTTGGTGGCCACCACAGTGCGGCCGTCGGAGACAACGAAGTTGAGCAGAGAGAGCTCGTCTGCCACGCCCGCCTCGCCACACAGCCGGTTCACCTCGTTGATCGTCGCCTCCATCTTTGCCACTAGCTCCTCTGCATGCATTGCAGGCACGATGGGAGGCCAAGACGCAATGCACACACATGTATGTTTGACGCTGCGCTTGGTTGGTTCACCTCGTTGATTGTCGCCTCCATCCGAGCCACCAGCTTCTCTGCAGCAAGATGGGGAGGCAATGGAATCCAGGCCAGGGTACAGATGAGAGAAAAACTTGTCTGCCCATCCCCTCCCATTGTGTTCACCTCGTTGATCGTCGCTTCCCGTCCGACCCACCAGCTTCTGTGAGACAAGATGGCAAGGCAATAGAATCCATGCCAGGGTATTTTGAGACGTCTCAAAACAAGATGGCAAGGCAATAGAATCCACGCCAGGGTATTTTGAGACGTCTCAAAACAAGATGGCAAGGCAATAGAATCCATGCCAGGGTATTTTGAGACGTCTCAAAACAAGATGGCAAGGCAATAGAATCCATGCCAGGGTATTTTGAGACGTCTCAAAACAAGATGGCAAGGCAATAGAATCCATGCCAGGGTATTTTGAGACGTCTCAAAACAAGATGGCAAGGCAATAGAATCCACGCCAGGGTATTTTGAGACGTCTCAAAACAAGATGGCAAGGCAATAGAATCCATGCCAGGGTATTTTGAGACGTCTCAAAACAAGATGGCAAGGCAATAGAATCCATGGCAGGGTATTTTGAGACGTCTCAAAACAAGATGGCAAGGCAATAGAATCCATGCCAGGGTATTTTGAGACGTCTCAAAACAAGATGGCAAGGCAATAGAATCCATGGCAGGGTATTTTGAGACGTCTCAAAACAAGATGGCAAGGCAATAGAATCCATGCCAGGGTATTTTGAGACGTCTCAAAACAAGATGGCAAGGCAATAGAATCCATGCCAGGGTACAGATTAGATCAGGGTCCATCCTCGCCACAAGCCCCTCGCCACAAGCCCCTCTTCCTTTCATAGAGTTGAACCCATGGAACATAAATGGTTAAACCATTTCACAAATTCGGTGAAGACGATGGCGATGAGTCAGTGGTTGTGCCGCACGGCTCATGCATCTGAAATAATGTGGGACAAGACGAATGTATCACGCACATGCGCGCACGCGCGCACACACACATAAGCACGCACGCACGCACGCACGCACGCACACACACACACACACACACACACACACACACACACCACGAACGCACACACGTACGCATGCACGCACGCACGCACGCACGCACGCGCGCGCGGGCACACACACATAAGCACGCACGCACGCACGCACGCACGCACACACACACACACATACACACACACACCCCACGAACGCACACACGTACGCATGCACGCACGCACGCACGCACGCACGCACGCACGCACGCACGCACGCACGCACGCACGCACGCAAGCACGCACGCACGCACGCACGCACGCACGCACGCGCGCGCGCGCGTACACACACACACACACACACACACACACACACACACACACACACACACCCCACGAACGCCCCCCCCCCCCCCCCCCCCCCCCCCCCCCCCCACACACCTGGAGCGAGCTGCTGCATGGGGTCTTGAATCTGGTTGAGGAAAAGAGCGAAGCAGACTGCAGAATCTGACTCGTAGGAGGGGCACTGCTCGTACACGTCGTCTCGCAGTGAGTCCAGCATTTTCCTCCGCACCTTCTTGAAACTTCCCACCCCGCCATTGTGCATCCACAGGTACCGCCCGCACACGAA